TAACCAGACGGGAATAACTGCGCGTGACTAACCACACGTGACTAACCAGACGGAACTAACCACACGTGACTAACCAGGCGGGACTAACCAGACGTGACTAACCAGGCGGGACTAACCAGACGTGACTAACCAGGCGGGACTAACCAGACGTGACTAACCAGACGTGACTAACCAGACGTGACTAACCACACGCGACTAACCAGGCGGGACTAACCACACGCGACTAACCACACGTGACTAACCACACGTGACTAACCACACGTGACTAACCAGACGGGACTAACCACACGCAACTAACCAGGCGGGACTAACCAGAAGTGACTAACCAGACGGGAATAACTGCGCGTGACTAACCACACGTGACTAACCAGACGGAACTAACCACACGTGACTAACCAGGCGGGACTAACCACACGCGACTAACCAGGCGGGACTAACCACACGTGACTAACCACACGTGACTAACCACACGTGACTAACCACACGTGACTAACCACACGTGACTAACCACACGTGACTAACCACACGTGACTAACCAGGCGGGACTAACCACACGCGACTAACCAGACGTGACTAACCACACGTCACTAACCAAATGGGAATAACCACACGTGACTAACCAGGCGGGACTAACCACACGCGACTAACCAGGCGGGACTAACCAGACGTCACTAACCAGACAGGAATAACTGCACGTGACTAACCACATGTGACTAACCAGACGGGAATAACCAGACGGGACTAACCACACACGACTAACCAGGCGGGACTAATCAGACGTGACTAACCAGACGGGAATAACTGCGTGTGACTAACCACACGTGACTAACCACACGTGACTAACCAGACGGGAATAACTGCGCGTGACTAACCACACGTGACTAACCAGACGGGAATAACCACGCGTGACTAACCAGGCGGGACTAACCAGACGGGACTAACCATACGTGACTAACCAGACGTGACTAACCACACGTGACTAACCAAATGGGAATAACCACGCGTGACTAACCACGCGCGAGTCTCCACGGCGAGCCGGGCCCCGCACTGCGCCGCCGTGGCCACGACCTCCGTCAGGGCTGCCGGCGAGGGCTGCGCGTTTCTGGAGCTCGCGCGGGCCCGGGTCCAGGCGATTGATATTCAGAATCAATAAACAGGCACCATGCCCACCATCACCACTCTCCCACATTTGTCTCTCAGCATACATTGTTTTTGAAAAGTATTGTTAACACATCCCACCCGCCACTCGGCATTCTGGGAGTGCATCTGCTCAGCAGTGCCGGTTCGTGCTGTGAGGATGCTGTGCGTCTATGACACAGTCCATGAAGAACACACCTCTTTTGTGTAAACATCAAACAATTCACACTCCGTTTCCAAATCCTCACGACAAAACGTCTCTCGTTGTGAGTCCGTGACCCCACCGGTTAGCACGGTTCACAGCGTACGGTGCGAACAAAGTTCGACATGCAGACATCCACTCCACGCGTGCGTTAACCGGAAGCAATTTCACGCAAGTTCTGGGTCGGTTTCATCTTCGCGAGGCTCATCAGCAGTGTCAGGCGTGTGAAACAAATACCACTGCTTTTCCAAACGTCATTGGCAGGTGTCCTCTCTCTACACCACGGGGTGATGCACTCCTTCGTCTCACGAGAACCCGGCAACGAGAGCACAATGGGGATGTAATTGAGGGAAGAATACAAATATTGTTTTGTTGAATGTCACGCGGAACACAGGTGCCTGGAGACGCGCCCCGGAGGGGGGGGGGGCGTTTCTGGGGTTCCACTCCTGGCTTCTGATCAGAGGGGCGCGCTCTCCGTGTCGCGCTGTCTTCATCTCGGCTATCGCGAACCGCATCGCGAACACTCTATTGATAACCCGCGGCTTTCATGTATGGTGGTAGTGGTGGCGGCCGCGGTTTCACGCAGAGACGTCATGGCTAAACATAGCAGTCGCCACAGCACGCGCGAGGCGGCCGGAAAGCACACAGGCACACGCACACACATACGCACACACACACACGCGCGCACTTCACTAGAGACCAAGATCCCCCGTATAGACGTTCATGGACTGTTGGGGCAATCGCTGTTAGCGATCACCTATGAAGGCTGTAAAAGCACACGAGGGAGACACATACACTTATATGCATGCAGAGGCATGCATACACACAACCTGAAACAACCAGCCACTTAGCACTAGCCCTGCCACTAACCATAACCAACCAGCCACTGACCCTCACTCTAACCCACTAGCCACTAGCCCTGCCGCTGACCCTGACCCTAACGCTGACCCTTAACCTCACCTCTGGCATTTCGCCCGTTTCCCTTGCCACGCTTTGTTCGCTTTCCACTAATGGAGCTGGCAGCGCTACCCCGCCCCTGCTCGCCCCCACCCCACGGTTTGACTCCGGGTCACGCCGCCAGGCTGCGCGCCACGCGGGGTGGCGGGCCGAGTTAATGGTTTACGATCGCGATGGCCGTGGCTGCAGCCGTCTCTTCGTCTGCTTCTCGGGATGACGGCTGTCCATTCGGGTAAACATCGTTGGGGGAAAATATCATACATACGAAGAGGTGGGTGACCAGCACCGCGCCCGGACGCCTTTGTCTCCCAAGTGGCGATGTTTACTAAACACCGCCCCAGGTACTCATTTGAGGCTGAGTCGACCTAGAGGAGGCCCGTGACCGGTTCAGATCATCGTTACGGGTGTTGGCCCGAGCACCTGGGCACGCAACCGTGCCACCGGTCCGAGGGCACGGTTTACTTCAGAGCGCAGTGATTGAGTTTTAAACAAAAATAAGCCACGCGTGTCAGACTCCAAATACAGGCGCAGTCACCATCAGGGAGATACTCTGAGAAAGCGGTGAATCATCGAACCTCCCACGTACTGATCGATGCGTTATCCTGAGTAATAATCGATAATAGTCGATGCTGATGATCATGATGATTCTGTGTGGCCAATGAAGAGCAACTCTTAGTGATTTAGCCATGCAGTCGCTTTGTCTGAGAGTTGGTGAGTTGCAGATACACCCACCGACTCACTCACCCACTCAGTCATCCACCCACACACTCACCCACCCACTGACTCACCCACTCACGAACCCACCCACTGACCTACCTATCCACTCACCCACTCTCTCATTCCCTTATTCACCCACCTACAGTCTTTAAATGTATATTTGGGACAGTGCTAAGGTCTACGGTGCACGGTTTGGTGTTCGTAGCGGCAGTCGTCACAGCAGAGAGAGAGAGAGTGGCGTATTCTCGACTTGTGCATCAGCTGGCCACCGCATCCATTTGTCCGCGAACCCAGAGCCGCTCTCCGGACTCGCGCCCCCTGGTGACCGCATGGACGACTCGCGCGGAAAATCACTCCGCGGTGACGGCGGATTTCGGGGTGATAGTCTACGATATGACTAATTACCTATTCATATTTTGTGACTCCAATACGATTTTGTCTATTTTGCACTCCTATCGTATTTGTATTGTTTGCTGTTGTAACTTGCTGACCCGCCCCTACTGGGCATCTGTGAAAAAGAGCTTTACAGCTCATCGGATTCCTCAAGCAGCCTAAATAAAGATTATGATTCTGATAAGGATTGACAATTATCATCGATAGTGAATAATGATGATTCCTGGTAATGATTATAATGTTTGATTATACTGATGACTAATGATGATTATGTTAATTGTAATATGTAATAATGAACTCGATTTTCTGTAGCGCAATTCGCACACAGCCTCAAAGCGCTTCATACCAAGCTGAAGTTACGGAGAAAGTTCGTCGTGAAAACAGGCGAGTGTTTAATTGACCCAGAAATTGAATTTCACAATTACGGAGCCTGGCTGAAAAAACCCTTTGTCTCCCATCGAACAACAACGTCAGTTTTCGACGATGGTGATCATTATTGATGAGGATTACTGGTTATAATGCATCATGATTAATGATGGTAACAGTGATAACAATAGTTGATGATGATGGAGACAGGATAATCCTGGCGACCCACTACCCCCTCGAGCGTTGTGCCGGCCTTTATAGGCGCTCGCTAATAGCGCTTGCCCCAAAAGTCTGTTGAGGCTATACGGAGATATACGTATTTGTTTATGTATTATGTGTATGTATTACTGAATGTGTGTACACCACGCCCGGCTGCCTTTGTCTCCCCAGTGATGATGTTTACAGATTGTACAAAGTACTGATTTTAGGATGAGTTGACCTAGGGGAGGCCCAGGACCAGTTCAGATAATCGTCTTTGGGTTCGCAGCGGAGTTCGCTAACCACTTAACCACCGCTCCCGTACATGAAAAAAAGACAAAGATCCCCCGTATAGCCTTAAAAGACTGTTGGGGCAAGTGCTGTTAGCGAGCACCTATGAAGGGCGGAACGGCACACAAGGGGGTGGGTGGCCAGCAACCACGCCTGGCCGTCTTTGTCTTCCTAGTAGCGATTGTTTACGCACAGCACCAGGTACTCATTTGAGGCTGAGTCGACGTAGGGGAGGCCCAGGACCGGTTCAGATAATCGAACTCGTGTCGCCAGGTTTGTAGCGCAGCGCGCTAACCGATAAACTACCGCTTCCCATTCGCACAGACACATACGAGCCCCTGTAATAACTCTTTAAAATGCCAATGATGGTATGTAATGATTATTCTTGAGATAGGCCTGCACACCAAACCTCCGGCTTACATCTCGCCCCGAGCGTGAAGCCACCAATGTCCCAATAGTTAGGTGGCAACGTCACCAATGTTCCCCTAGTAAGCTAGCAATCGTATTCCTATTCTGTATGGCTTTTAAAATAAAAATCAGAAGGGCTACTATTTTGTGATTAATGTTGTAAGCAATTCCACGGCAAAATCCGGGGTGGTAGCTGAGTGTAGTCCGCTCGTTCCACCAGAATGCGCGCGTTGTATGGGGAAGTCATCAGTGATTCACGCCTCACGGTGCGCACCTGGCCGCATTCGTGGTGGAGTCCCTGATCGTTTGATGGGGTAATTATCACGCACACCTGCCCAGTGGTGGTGCTGCTGTTGTGGTTGTTGGGATGCGGTTGAGAGCGGTCTCCACTGCGGTCGGGGTAGCAGAGAAACCAGGATGGAGGGGGGGGGGGCGCTGCTCCTTCGTCGGGTCTCGAGTCAGTGCCTCAGGTGGGGCTCCACATCCCGCGCCACGTGGGTGGCACTGGGGTCCTGCCCGAATCAGTCCGCAATGTTAGTGCAACTCAATGGATGTGTGTGTTAAACGTCTTTCGCACCGTATGTAACCAACCGTGATAAACAGACGTTTGAAATGACAATGCGTTGCTAGGACCCATGTCTAACAGAGATGATCCTTGCTTATAAACGTCTGGTAGTTCACTCGTATTGGCTTAAGCCCGACTCTGCTGATGAGATACCCGGTCACCTGAGTTCGATTACCGTTTACAGCTAACATCAGGTCCCTTGCTTTCCCGATGTGAACCTTGTTTTAAATGGGTACTTGATGTGATGTGCACACATGAACACTCGGGAAACAAAGGCTGTCGAGCGTGGCGCTGAACACAACCTTCCCAAATCAAATAGGTTATCGCTAATAGCACTTACACCAACGGTTTATAATGATACGCAGTCTATAATCGTGCTTGTATGAATGCACCGTTGGTGTGTATGCATATGTGGTTAGCGCACTGCGCTAAGAACCCGGCGAGACGAGTTCCATTCCCGATCACAGCCAACACCAGTGACGATTATCTGAAGCGGTCCCGGACCTCCCCTAGGTTCACTCAGCCATCAATAAGTACCGTGTCTGGTGCCATGTGCAAACATCGTCACGCAGGAGACAACGATTTCCGGGTCTAATTGTAACGTGAAGATGATTGTCCAAACATCCCAATGTAGCAGGCCCTTCCTGTAAAGGAGTCTTGAGACTGGATGAGGCTGTGATGGACGAGACGAACACGCCGCCTGCGTGTGAGTGACGGCGATGGGTGAGCGACCCTGATGAAGCCCGGCAACGACACGGGCCATTCGACGTTCTTTTACTTGGGTCCATCAGCATCAGCGACGCTGTCTCTCGCTGCTGCTCACTTCACTTTGAGCGCACAGCTCACACGCATCATCGTCTCGAGAGACTCGTTCTCTCATACACTCTCTCCTTCTCTCTCTTTTTTTTTCTCTCTCCCCTCTCGCTCCCCTCGCTCTGAGGTGACATGCGCGGCGCACTGGAGCGGGGCTTGGCGAGTTGGGGGGATATTCGGATTCGTGTGGATTTTTAAAACGGTTTTCCCAAGATGGGTTTTTTAGATTATCACCCAACACAAACAATCTGACTCCAATCGTCTGTAAACTATTACGGCTTACGTGTTACTCTGAAGCAACACACACTCATTGATATCGCCCTCGTAGCGTGCGTAACGTATGGACACGCGTGTACACCTGTTTATGTGTGTGAGTGTGTGTATGCGTGTGAGTGTGTGTGTGTGTCTATGTGTGTGAGTGTGTGTGTGTCTATGTATAATGGAACATCTTCGCCGGTTAGAAACATTTAGGCTGGCTTGCCTACGATCCATCCTGGGTTTAACCAGACTGGATTGTGTGAGGAGCTCACGAATCCTTGAAAGATCTGGGCAAGGTCCCATCGGTGAGCTCCTCCGGCGGGCAAGGCTGCGATGGCTGGGTCATGTAGCCCGCATGCCCAGCCACCGCATGCCGAAACAGCTTTTGTTCTGGCGGATCGAGGGGGCTAAACGGGCGCGGCACGGGCAAGAGAAGAGATGGAGTGATGTAGTACAGGAGGACGTGGAGCTAAGTGGACTTGCCGATGACTGGTACCAGCGGTGTGAAGATCGGCCTCTGTGGAGGAGGCTCGTGAAGGACGCTACTGGGCAGTTGGAGGTAGTCGCCCTCCAACAACAACGGAGGGCGGAGGAGCGACGCTCACAACAACGATCGGAGCGCCGGGTGGCTAAAGCACAGCAGGTTGGCACAGTAGGGGGCACAGGTGGTGCATCAGCCAGTCATCTCAGTCAGTCGACCCGTGGCACCTGAGTCTGCCCCGTGACCTCCTGCCAGCGGGCGTTCGACACTCCACGTGGCCTCAAGGTGCACATGTCCTGGCACAAGCGTCGTGGTGACGTCACCGCCACTTAGTGGCGAATGGCGGTTGTTGTCTATGTGTGTGAGTGTGTGTCTATGCGTGTGTGTGTCTATGCGTGTGTGTCTATGTGTGTGGGGAGCAATAGTGTAGCGGTTAGCGCGCTGCACTATGAACCTGGCAACCCGGGTTCGATTCCCGCTCACGGCAAACATCAGTGACGATTATCTGTACCGGTCCCGTGCCTCTCGCTAGCTCAACTCAGCCTCAAATGAGTACCTGGTGCGATGTGTAAGCATCGCCACTGGGGAGACAAAGGCGGACGGGCGTGGTGCTGGCCACCCACCCCCTCGTGTACCGTTTCGACCTTCAGATATGCTCGGTGATAGCACTTATTATTCTCGTAATATTTTGTTTTATATCGCGTCATTCATGCAAATTGCATCTCGCAACGCTGTACATTCATTATTTGCACAATCAAATTTTGTGGTAAATACCTTTTGATCGCAATTATAGTATTAAATAAATTGCCCCAACAGAACCCCCCCTCCGTCAACCCCCATCACCACCCCCTCCTCCTCCTCCTTCAATTACCGTCCCGACCACAACTCCACTGCGCCTCTCCGCAATCTCCCAGCCACAAGGCCCCCCCCACCTTCACTTATGACCGCCCCCCCGTGCTGCCCCCTCATGCCCCCCATCACCACTCACTACGACCCCTCCGTCACCCCCACTAGAGCCACGTCCAGCACCAATGCCCACTCACCCGGCAGCTGCGAGTACCACACTCGGCGTGGCGGAGGCGTCCACCCAGCGCGTCCACGACAGCAGCCACGCACTCACCGCATCCGTCATGGACTTTGGCGTACAACAGCACTGTTCTACGCTACAGTACTGTGCTCCGCACAGCGCCGCGCTACGCACAGCGTCGCACTACGCACAGCACCGAGCTACGCACAGCACCGAGCTACGCACAGCACCGCGCTACGCACAGCACCGCGCTATGTACAGCAACTCTCTATATAAAGAGAGTGCGCGTGCTGTGAGCGAAGGGATGCGCTCGCGTGCGGCAGCGAGAGGTGGACTCGGCGTGGGGACGAGGAGGCGGAGAAAGCTGCCCACGTTGATCGGCTGACCATTCCCCATTGCACATTCACAATGTTGGTGTTGTTGGTGATGATGTGGGGAGCGGTAGTGTAGCGGTTAGCGCGCTGCGTTGCGAACTTAGAGTCCCGAGTTCGATTCCCTCTCACGGCCAACACCAGTGACGATTATGTTAACCGGTCCTGGGCCTCCCCTAGGTCGACTCAACCTCAAATGAGTACCTGGTGCGGTGTGTAAAAACATCGCCACTGGGGAGGCAAAGGCGGTCGGGCGTGGTGCTGGCCACCCAACTCCCTCGTGTGCCGTGCCCCTACAGTCTGTTAAGGCTACACGGGGGGTCTTTGTCTTTGATTGACATTTGGACGTGGTTTCAGAGGGGAGCGCGCTGCGCTATAAATCCGGCCACCCGAGTTCGGGTGGCCAACACCACTAACGATTATCTGAGACGACTTACCCTCAAATGATAACTAATGCGGTGTTTAAGCATCGCCACTAGGGAGACAAAGGCGGCTGGGCGTGGTTATTGCCACCCACCCCCTCGTATGCCGTGTCGGCCTCAATCTGTTGAGGATATATGGAACATCTTTGGCTTGTCTCTGTCTATGTATATATGTGTGTGTGTATATATACACACACAGACAGACATCCTGCCAGCAGGCGTTCGACACTTCACGTAGCCTGGCACAAGCGACGTGGTGACGTCACCGCCACTGAGTAGCGAATGGCGCGTGTGTACATATGTGTGTTTGTACATACATAGATATAGTTGTTGTCAATGTGTCTGGTATATGCTTATAAGAAGAGGAGTCGTTCGTGTCCGGGGCTTTGTTACAGAAGCGTTAATCATCGCCGTCGATGCCACCCTCTCTCCGTCCCCTTCTCTCTTCTTTCTCTCTCCGCTCGTTCTCCCACCTTGCGCTGTCCCCTGCGAGGTCTTAACCATCATCACCAACCTCACCTCTAACGACTCTACAGCCCTCTCCACACAGCCAGCAAGCCATTCCTTCACGGCCTCCCCCCGCCCCGCCTTGTCACCGCACATCCATCCTCCACTTCCATCCTCCACTTCCATCCTCCACATCCTCGCTCCCGTCAACCACCCCCCACACCCCACCTACCTCCCCCCCCTCCCCCCTGCGTCTTTCGGGGTCTGCGGGCGGAGACTGACAAGACTAGAACGTGACTAGAACGTGACTAGAACGTGAGTGAGAGCGAGAGAGGAGTCGAGAGGCACCGGGGGAGCCGCAGAGCCGCAGAGGAACGTAGCGACACAGAGAGAGAGCGGCGCAGACACAACAACTCGTGCACGCACACAGGCGCTGAGACGACTCAGGCGCAGACACGCGGAGAGAGAAAGCGACACATAGAGAGGCAGATACACACATCGAGAGACTGGGATAACACACAGAGAGACACACGGGGAAGGGAAGGTACACACCGGGTGAGATAGACACAGAGAGAGCAGGCAAGAGATCGACACAGACACAGCACTGGCCTCGAAGGTCGCTGCACCGCTGTTACCATCATCCTCATCACCGTCGTCATGATGCTGAGTGGAACCTGCGTGCTTCCCCTCCTCCTCGCCGCTCTCATCTGCTCACTCGCCGTTACTCCGTCCCGCGGCTGCGGACCCGGCCGCACGTACGGGCGGCGTCGGCAGCCGCGGAAGCTGACGCCGCTCGTCTACAAGCAGTTCGTGCCCAACGTGGCGGAGAAGACGCTGGGCGCGAGTGGCCGCTACGAGGGGAAGATCGCGCGCGGCTCTGAGCGCTTTAAGGAGCTGACGCCCAACTACAACCCCGACATCATCTTCAAGGACGAGGAGAACACGGGCGCCGACCGCCTCATGACGCAGGTGAGAGGGTTGCCTGCTTGCTCGTCGAGATGATGCTGCTGCCGCTGCTGTTGCCGCTGCTGCTGTTGCTGCTGCCGCCGCTGCTGCGATCGATCTAACTCCGTTTACTGTTGCTGCTAGTGCTGCTGCTGCTGCTTGTGATGATGATGCTGCCGCTATTGTGGATTATTCTCATGTTGCTTCTACTCCTCGTGATACTGATGCTACTGCTGCTGATGATGCTACTGCTGCTGATGATGATGATGCTACTGCTGCTGATGATGCTGCTGCTACTGCTGCTGATGATGCTGCTGCTACTGCTGCTGATGATGATGCTGTTGCTGCTGATGATGCTGCTACTGCTGCTGATGATGATTCTGCTGCTGCTGCTGCTGCTGATGATGCTGCTGCTGATGATGATGTTGTTGCTGCTACTGCTGCTGATGATGCTGCTGCTGATGATGATGCTGCTGCTGCTGGTGATGCTGCTGCTACTGCTGCTGATGATGCTGCTGCTACTGCTGATGGTGATGCCTGTTTTGCTACTGCTGCTGATGATGCTGCTGCTGTTGGTAGATCCCGGGACCAGTGCCGTGCGGGCAAGTCAGGGCGAGCCTCGTTCGCCCCCCGCTTTCTATCGGCTTTAGCGTCGCACTCCACGGGAGGCAAACAATAATAATATTTATTAATCTTTCTGTCGATCGAGAAGAACCACACTGAGTCTAAGGAAACTTTTTTTCCAGAGGGTCCTGCTACATTTGGGAGTTCATGTTTAGATGTTTCCAGCCAATTAATGATGAGTGTGTTTACGCACGTGGGAGCAGGCCGGAGCACCCAAAGAAAATCCACGCGTGCGAGGAGGCAACACTCTATCCCTGTGCAGATTAAGTTCGCACTTGCTTGTCCTGCTTTCTCCCGCAAAGCCAGGGCATGGGACTGTGAGTGAGTGATTCCCGCTCACGCCCATCGCCAGTGACAATTATCTGAACCGGTCATGGGTCTCCCCTAGGTCGACTCAGCCTCAAATAAATACTTGGTTGCGGTGTGTGAACATCGCCACTAGGGAGACAAAGGCGGCCGGGCGCGGTACTAGCCACCCACCCCCTCGTGTGCTGTACCGACCTTCATAGGTGCTCGATAACAGCACTTGCCCCAACAGTCTGTTAAGCCGATACTAGAGGATTTCGATTTAAAGCTTTCGTGACTGCAAGGATTCATCTTCTTTGGTTCTTTCGGTAAAGTCACGTAGAATGAGAATAAGATAATAAATTGATAAAATAAAATAACACAATAAAATTCTCACGACGTTTCGGCCACAACACAAGCGGCCTTCATCAGGTGAAGGGACGAGACTGTCTGGAGGACAGCGCTGGAGCGAACACAGCGGTCTGAGCTTGGCTGTGTTCGCTCCAGCGCTGTCCTCCAGACAGTCTCGTCCCTTCACCTGATGAAGGCCGCTTGTGTTGTGGCCGAAACGTCGTGATAATTTTATTGTGTTATTTATTTTATCAATTTATTATTTTATTCTCATTCTACGTGACTTTACCGAAAGAACCAAAGAAGACAATAGAGGATGTTTGTCTTTGTTTGTGTACGTGTGTAGTTGTGAGCGTTGGCTCAAATCTTACCCCTCTCAAATACTGAACGCATTCGTCAATGACAATGCGAACCTAAAACAAAATAAAGTATATATTTAATAGGCGAAGTTTCCGGCAATGATCCTTCTTCATATCCGAGAGATAGAGAGGCCACAAATGAATTATATTATAGCCGAATATTGCACCATGAAAATGTGGCGGCTCCACTGTGAGACCGTCAGAGGCCACTAATTGTGTCCGTCTTCTAATTGTAACCGACAGAGGCTGCTTCTCCCTAATAGACGCCACCACGAGGGCTCTCTGTCCGCCTGTGTCCACCCAGCAATGCACACGTGGGCACTCCGCAGTTAGTCGATCGGCGGGGTCGGGTGTGGTGAAGTAAGGTGTGGGTACTCCCACGTCTTGGATAGAGACATCTTCCAACGTGAAGATGCCTATATCTAACTTGAAGATGTCTCTACTCAACGTGAAGATGCCTCTACTCAACGTGAAGATTCCTATATCTAACGTGAAGATGCCTCTATTCAACGTGAAGATGTCTCTACTCAACGTGAAAATGCCTCTACTCAACGTGAAGATGCCTCTACTCAACGTGAAGATGTCTCTATCCAACATGACGATGTTTCTATCCAACATGACGATGTATGTACCCAACATGACGATGTATGGACCCAACATGTGGATGTTTCTATCCAACATGACGATGTATGTACCCAACATGACGATGTTTCTATCCAACATGACGATGTATGGACCCAACATGACGATGTTTCTATCCAACATGACGATGTATGGACCCAACATGTAGATGTTTCTATCCAACATGACGATGTATGGACCCAACATGACGATGTATGGACCCAACATGTAGATGTTTCTATCCAACATGACGATGTATGGACCCAACATGACGATGTATGGACCCAACATGTAGATGTTTCTATCCAACATGACGATGTATGGACCCAACATGACGATGTATGGACCCAACATGTAGATGTTTCTATCCAACATGACGATGTATGGACCCAACATGACGATGTTTCTATCCAACATGACGATGTATGGACCCAACATGTAGATGTCTCTATCCAACATGACGATGTATGGACCCAACATGACGATGTTTCTATCCAACATGACGATGTATGGATCCAACATGTCGATGTTTCTATCCAACATGACGATGTATGTACCCAACATGACGATGTTTCTACCCAACATGACGATGTTTCTATCCAACATGACGATGTATGGACCCAACATGACGATGTATGGACCCAACATGACGATGTTTCTATCCAACATGACGATGTATGGACCCAACATGACGATGTATGGACCCAACATGACGATGTATGGACCCAACATGACGATGTATGGACCCAACATGACGATGTTTCTATCCAACATGACGATGTATGGACCCAACATGACGATGTATGGACCCAACATGACGATGTATGGACCCAACATGACGATGTATGGACCCAACATGATGATGTATGGACCCAACATGTAGATGTATGTACCCAACATGTAGATGTCTCTATCCAACATGACGATGTATGTACCCAACATGACGATGTTTCTATCCAACATGACGATGTATGGACCCAACATGACGATGCATGGACCCAACATGACGATGTATGTACCCAACATGTAGATGTTTCTATCCAACATGACGATGTATGGACCCAACATGACGATGTATGGACCCAACATGACGATGTTTCTATCCAACATGACGATGTATGGACCCAACATGACGATGTATGGACCCAACATGTAGATGTTTCTATCCAACATGACGATGTATGTACCCAACATGACGATGTTTCTATCCAACATGACGATGTATGGACCCAACATGACGATGTATGGACCCAACATGACGATGTTTCTATCCAACATGACGATGTATGTACCCAACATGTAGATGTATGTACCCAACATGTAGATGTCTCTATCCAACATGACGATGTATGTACCCAACATGACGATGTTTCTATCCAACATGACGATGTATGGACCCAACATGACGATGTATGGACCCAACATGACGATGTATGGACCCAACATGACGATGTATGGACCCAACATGACGATGTATGGACCCAACATGACGATGTATGGACCCAACATGACGATGTATGGACCCAACATGACGATGTATGGACCCAACATGACGATGTGTATATAGTTTGCGTGTTGTGTAGTGGCATCTTTCATACAAATTTCTTCTCAAATTGCTGCTGTAGAATTTGTAACGCAGAGGCGTGTGAAACCACAAGTACGCGGGAAGGCAGGTAGCCAGAACCTGGGCCAAAAATTGCCCAAGGTTCGTGCTGCTAAGTTGTGATATTTGGCCAGCTCTGTGGAGGAACGCGACGTCCCCGGAGAACACCAATGCGTGCGAGGGAATCGTCAGACCCAATCCTCGTACAGATAAAATAGAGATTAAAATGGACCCGCTTGCTGTACCGTCATCATACCCTGGCAATCCAGGAGATGGACATGTGTAGAGAGGGAGACACACGCATTTGTGTAATGATAAAAGAATTCCCCTTTACTTTCCCACAAAACCCTCACTGACTCTGAAGACTCCTTTTCATCAGGTTCCTGCTGCCTTGGGATGGTTGAGTAATTATCTGAAGAGTGAGAGTTTGGCTTCGTGTGCCAGGAACCTGGAGAGCACCGGGCAGCCCTTACCGCGACTCACGCTCGGAATGGCACTGAGAGACGGGAAGAGGAACGCGCGGATTCTGGAACAAACGGAGATCAGAGGCGACACGTTGAGTGGTTTTGAGCAGAACACGTCGCTCGAAGGGATGATGATCATGATGATGACCGATAGACGAGTGTGGCGATGGAGTAAGAGCCGAATAAATCGAGAGAAACGCACCAAAGAGGGCGATCGCCGTGTAGATGGAGCGATGAGATGGACTGTGAACATGGGGTGAGACGCTCACGACGCCGACGGAAGATGTTCGACGAGGTTGTCAATGGCTCGACGACTGCTGCTGATCGTGCAGGGAAGCGTAACGATGTTTGTCGTTCACCAGTCTCAGGGAACATCTCTGGTAGAGGCGGTGATGATGGTGCTGATGGTGGTGATGGTGCTGATGGTGCACTTATTCGTCAGGATTCTGACGGGCGGTGTTTTTAATGTTCGGGAAGGTGGTGTACAATTATGCTAAACACTATTTAATTGGCCAAACATCCCAATGTATCAGGACCCTCCTGTAAAAGCGGTGTTGAGACTCAGTGAGGCTTGCTTGGGTACATTAATTTCTAACTCGCATTGATCTTACTGTTACTAATTTCACAAACTACATAAAGATATTGAAAGACAGTGACAGACGCAGAGACGCATACTCGAGGGTCGACTTCATAAGTTAACAAACATGAACGAGAGAGAGCAGCAAGGGAGTAGAGAGGGAGAGGGAACAGAGAGTTGTGAGATCGAGAGAGAGGAGAGAGGGAGAGACACAGAGGGACAGGAAACGAGACAATGAGAGAAAGACACATACACACCCGGGGAGAGAGACACGCACAGACAAAAGAAGAGACACGCACAGACTGAGATACAGTGAGAGACAAGAAGAGAGAGGAGACACACAGCGACACGCGCACACAGGGACGGAGACAGGGAGAGAGTTAGCAGGAGAGAGAGAAGAGACGCACACGGAGGGAGAGGGACACAAGGAGAGATAAAGACGAGGAGGGAAAGAGGGAGGGAGAGAGGGAGGGAGATCGTTTCGCCCGCCCGGCACGCGCCACTGAACGCCTCCAGAGCGGCGCTCAGCGATGCGCGAAATCGGCCTCGCGAGCACGGGGCGGGCTCACGGCGAGACAATCAATTAGCGTCTCGTGTCACGGGCTTAATGGCCTGGAAGCCTCCCCGCCGCTTCCCCGTCGTGCTTGCCAAGTCCCCTCGCGGGGAACTGGCCCGACGCACCGAGACCCCCTTTGGGCGGGTAAAACGACCCCCTTCCTGTCGGGGCGGCCGAGTGGCTCAGGGGTCACGGCCGACGCCGCTAGGAACCTGGGTTCGAACCTGGGTTGAGGCCGCACGCGATTAAACCGGGTTTCCGAGTGCAGCGATTTGATGGTTTCCGCTCGGTTCTCAATGACTACAAATATCACCAAAACACGAGTTGCCATCGTAATTATCCACTGTTTATCCACTGCTGGCTGCAGCCCCCCCCCCCCACCCCAGCGACATCCCTAACGATCCAGCGCCGCTATAGTCCGCCTGTAGCGCTCCTATATCGTCGACTCCGATCTCAACGTTCCGTCTCCACAGTGGTCGCGTCTATCGGCGATCAAACAAACGAGACTCGACCTCGAGTGGCCGGGCTCTTAGCCCAGCACGATAACCACTGCGCCACCGCATTGACGATCTATTTACATAAACACTCAACACATTGGTCAATAACAATGTGGTCTTAAACAAAAGTACGTTAGACGACGTTTCGGACAATGGCCCGTCTTCGCTATGTACATGCACAGGTGTTTGAGACGGCCCAGGCACGCAGCCAGTCGCGTCCACGTCGCCCGCTCGACGCGTCCCACGCGTGCACAGCGCCCCGCACGTGGGTAGCGACGTTGATGAGAACCCCGACTCAAAGTCGCGGTTACTCGCTGACCATGTACGGGCGTTGTCTCGCTTCGTCGTCTCTAAAGCGACATAATGACTCACTTGAACGTGACTTTAAATATACATTTTTGTATCTTATGAACGAAGCGGCCGCGCATTAGCAACTTATCTAACCCGTCGGGCAGAGGCTGAGGTTCGATTGCGAATTTATCCGACAGAGCGACTCGCATCAACAGTCACAAGGACGACTCCGCGCAATGGAATCCGCGTGACTCGCCGACCGTCTCTTGCGAGCGTCTCTCTAACAGCGGGACGCGGTGTCGTAGACGTTCAGCGCTCACCTTGACGCGCTTCCATTGCGCTGTGCTCTGTCGAGTCGTTACGCGCATCGACACGACTGCAATGGAAACTGATTTCTGTTCACAAAAAATCAACACCCCTGGCCCGTGACTCGTGCTACAGATGCCTCGCCTAATATACAGGAAGTCATGGATTCGATCCCGACCCTGATAATTAAGGGGGGCAAAATCTCGACGTTTCGGCCGATCGACCTCCTCGTTCCACCCTTTGGCAGCGCTGCAAGGACCGGCTCAACTCGCTGGCCATCTCGGTGATGAACCAGTGGCCCGGCGTGAAGCTGCGCGTGACCGAGGGCTGGGACGAGGACGGCCACCACTCGGACGAGTCGCTGCACTACGAGGGCCGCGCCGTGGACATCACCACGTCGGACCGCGAGCGCGCCAAGTACGGCATGCTGGCGCGCCTGGCGGCCGAGGCGGGCTTCGACTGGGTCTACTACGAGTCCAAGGCGCACGTGCACTGCTCCGTCAAAGCCGGTGAGCGAGCAGCAGCAGTTTTTTTTTATCAGTTTTTCAGTTTATTTATTTTGGTATAGCCCTGTGAGCCATTCGGCTCTTGAATCGGGTGCAACCACAAAAAAAAACACGAACAAGAAAAACATCTTAAAGTGACTATGTGTGAGTGTGCAAACAGAAAATCCATGAAAAAACAGCAAAATATTCCTGAAAAAAGCACCGTACACCAACGCTGTGTGCAAAAAATCCCAGTGGGATGCAAGTCAAACAACAACAACAACCACAAGAAAACTTAGATTAAGGCCATCAGTCTAACTCCGTACTACAACAAAACAAACATGTCCAAACCAAAAAACGTTTTCGAAATCACCAAAAAATAAAGCCATAATTGCAACGTAACAGTGATCATAGGGACTGTGACCGAATTTTTACAATAAACTACGTAAATAACTTTTGATTTAAAGCTTTCGTGACTGCAGGGATTCATATTCTTGGTTCTTTCGGTAAAGTCACGTAGAAGGGAAACAATAAAAGAACAAACATATAAAACAATAAGTAACATGTAACACCAAATCCTAGAGCAATAGCTGGCTGCATGAGTTACTCCACAACAACAGAAGCATCAGTCAGAGTATCAAATATTTCAATGCACCTTTAAAATCAGCACGCTAAATCAAAATACAGATAATACTTTGCAGCGTCATCCAGAGCGAAACATTTTATCTTATTTTAAGCCAATGAATAGCAGTGGCAGCCAGGGGTGTACAACTCCTCTAGAGCAGTTTTGAGAGAAGACCTCATTGGTAGCGATTCAAGTTGCAGTTTATTGGCAATAGCATTCCAGACCCTGGGGGTATCAATAGCAAAGGCCCTTCCTCCAGTTTTTGTACGGCAATAGGGAATGTGAAGCTGGTAAATGAGCGAAGACCTGAGGTCAAATTTGTTCTTTGAAACAGAGAGGAGATCTAGCAGGTAGTCTGCGGATTTTTTGTAAGTAGATCGTGAATAAATAAGATCTGGTGCACAAGCCGTCGAACATTAAGAGATGTTAAGTTTGACCCAATGTAGAGATCACAGTGGTGAGTCCTATATGAGCAGTTCAATGTAAATCTTAAGGCCGAGTGAGAGATGGAATCAAGCTTCTTCAGTACAGTATTTGGGGCTGATTTATACACGATGTCACAGTAGTCAAGTAGGGGCAGTATGGTAGCTTTTATCAATTCCAAACGGAACATTTGGGGGGAGCAGTGCTTGTGTCGATACAGAAAAACAATTTTTATTTTTGTCTTTTTACCAATATAATCAATGTGATCTTCAAAATTCAGTTTTGAATCCAGGATGACCCCAAGATACTTATAGATCTTGATTTGCTCTATTTGATAATTAATTAAGGAATGTAATTGGGGAAAATAACTTCCTGCTTTAGTCCTGGGGAGAAGCATAGCACCTTAGTTTTGGAGGTATTCAGGATGAGTTTAAGAGCAACTAGCTGATGTTGTAGTTTGTTGAAATCACCCTTTAGCTTAGCAATCACGTCATCCGGAGAGCGGCCAGCAGTAATAAGTATCGTGTCATCTGCAAAAAGATTTACCCTGGAATGATCCAGGTCAATCCCCAAGTCATTGACATAAAGAGAGAACAAAAGGGGGCCGAGGATGGAACCCTGTGGAACCCCTTTTGTTATCTTAACACTGTGAATACAGTTTGGGTGCGAGAAAAGAGGTAATTTTGTAACCATTTTACTTCGTTTTCGGAAAAACCGAGGCAAATTAGTTTACTAAGCTGGGTGGTGTGGTCTACTGTATCAAAAGCTTTGGACAGGTCTAGAAAAAGACAGGCACAGTACTGCTTATTATCAAGGCTACTGTAAATGTGATTCCGAGAGTCTAATGCAGCAGATGTAGTGCTGTATTTTTTTCGGAACCCAGATTGTTTTAGATGTAGTAGATTGTTGGTGGACAGGAAACTGCTAATTTGGTAGGTCAATAATTTTTCAAAAATTTTCATCAACGAGGACAAAATTGAGATAGGTCGGTAGTTATTTGGATCATCTTTAGGGCCCTCTTTGTGAAGTGGACGGACATAGGAATGTTTCCATTCTAGAGGAACTGATGCTTCTTTGATGGACAGGTTGAAAATATGGGCTATAGATGTATATTAGGTGACCAAGAGATAGTAGTGCAGCAGCAGCGGCATCATCGTCACTAGCGCCACCATCGTCAGCATGAGCATCGTCAGCATTGTCATCGTCAGCAGCGACATCATCGTTACCAGCAGTAGCAGCAGCGTCGTCATACACACGTCATATTAAATTGTATACATACACATGGTGTTCAATTATACGCACACATGCAAATTTCAATCCTACACACATAATATCAAATCATACACGTGAATTAAATGTTCCATTATACACACGTGTTATATTCAATGAGCTGCACGGTGAGGCTAGTTTGGTGCTAATTGGGGGTTCATCGATAGGCGTAGAGACGGCGGCGGCAGTGGAGGGGGGTGCGAGCGAGCTGGAGGAGGGGGTGGGAGCAGTGGGGGTGGGGGCAGAGGGGGTGGGCGCAGAGGGGGTGGGGGCAGAGGGGGTGGGGGCAGAGAGGGGTGGGAGCAGTGGGGGTGGGGCAGAGGGGGTGGGGGCAGAGGGGGTGGGAGCAGAGGGGGTGGGAGCAGAAGGGGTGGGAGCAGAGGGGGTGGGGGCAGAGGGGGTGGGATCCGGAGCGATCAGCAGGAGGGAATTTCGCACCTGAGTAAACGAGGAGGGGGCTGCCTCCCCCCCTTTCTGTCGCCATGTTTATTTATTTACTTGCCGTCTCTGTATTCAGAGTGTGCGGAGTTTGTTTGCATGCAGAGTTGAAAGGATCGATTAGTGACGACTCCGCGTGAGAGTTCGTGTAGACACACACAGACACACACACACAGACAAACACACACACAGACAGACACACACAGACACACACAGACACACACACAGACACACACAGACACACACACAACAACAACCGCCATTCGCCACTAAGTGGCGGTGACGTCACCACGACGCTTGTGCCAGGCCATGTGCACCTTAAGGCCACGTGAAGTGTCGAACGCCCGCTGGCAGGAGGTCACCGGGCAGACCCAACTGCCACAGGTCGACTGACTGAGATTACTTAGATGACTGGCTGATGCACCACCTGTGCCCCCACACACACACAGACACACACAGACAAAGATACCCCATATAGCCTTAACAGACTGTAGGGGCAAGTGCTGTTAGCGAGCACACACACAGACACACACACAGACACACACACTCTCCTCCCTCTCACATCTCACTCTACTCCCCTCGACGCGCTCTCCCATCTCTCCCCTCTCACAACTTGCTGTTAAAACCCTCAGTCAACCTCCGCTCAGTGAGAGGTCGCTCATTCTCCTCTGCTGACCCCAGAGTCTGGAACTCCTTTCCTCCGGCCGCCCGTGCTGCCGACTCCCTGCCGCTGTTCAAGTCGCGGCTCACCAACCTCCCTCTTCTCCTCTGCCCGTGTCCTTCTGCCTCTCCCTCTCTCTCTCTCTGCCACCTAAACATGTCCACGTCTTTCTGGCCATCGTATAAAGATGCCGTCGCATATGTAGCTACATAAATACAACTGTCGCTGACAATAAGAAATATAAGGATTTAAATCTACAAACATGCGAACGCTCCCAGGGTACACGAGAGGTGGCGTGGGCAAGACGGAATCTTACCTGGCCGTCTTTGTCTTTCTAGTGCTGTTACGTACATGCAGTGTACCAGGTACGCATTTAAGGCTGAGTCGACTTCGGAGAAAGAATCAACAGATTCGGTCGTTGTTCAAGGCCGGGAATCGAACTTGGGTAGGATCGTCACTCAGTGTGCAAACGATGACACCTCCGATTTGAACGGTTGGTCACGTACGGTGCGAAAGACGTTCACCATAATACACTGCGCCACCGCTCCCAAAGGTTCCAGTGGAGTTATAAACCAGCAATGGGGAGACAAAGGCGGTCGGGTGTGGCTTTGTCCATTAGAACCGTTCGTGTGCTATGTAGACATATACGCATGCATGTTCACGGTCGTGATTGGTGTGGATGTTTGCGATGTTCCAGAAGGGATGGACAGTTGTCGTTTGGCACGAGCGCATTTGAGTTTTTTATTGCTAAAGCTGGGAACTTCAGAACACGAACATCTTTTCATATGGTGTCCAACAAATAACAGCACGGAGGTTGATTGATTTCACTCGCAGGGCAGGCTGAGCCTGCAGTTACACGCGGCTGCAATTCCCTAAATCCACAAATTCCATCCCCATCACCGGTAAACCAAGTAATTCGCCTGCCGTGGAGTGTGACGATGTAGCCGGTAGAAAGCGGCGGCGGGCGATGCCCGCTGTGGATTTCTGCTGCTGCTGCGTCGCAGAGCGCGCATCACGAGTCACGCGTAGCCCCCTTACGCAACCACAGCGAGTATGCGCATAACAATAATTTATTCATTCATCCGCCCATTCATTTGCTGATTCGTTCGCTCATTCATTGCTGTGTACACACGAGCACAAGTCCGTTTTGTGTGCGTCCCCCCCCCTCTCCTCTCCCACTCCGCGCCGCAGCACAATCTGCGCTCTGTCCGGCGAGCGCGTCTCGCAGACAAACACGGCCGCGCATTCCTTCATAGCCCTGCCGGTGCAGGGAGGACGGCAGAGTCGTGCAGCAGGGAGGCCGGGTGGTGCAGGGGGGTCCGATGCAGGGAGAGGTTCCGTGCAAGCTGCTTGCCGCGTTCACCCCACACGTGGCACCCATCAGCCACAACGCCAACGAACTCGGATTTCGCGTTTGGAATATTCTCCGCTGCCATCCCAACATCCCCTTACGGCCCCGTTTCCTTGATCAATTACAGCCGGCAGCAACGTTTGCTACCGAAGAGGCGAGAGATTTCACGTTGATTGTATGTTCCAGTTCAGCGTTTCGCTTTCTCTCTGTCGGCTGTGCGGCTGGGTTCCACGTCATCCCCAGGCGAGGGAGTTCGTGCTGCGCACGGAGCTCGGGAGGAGGCGTCACGCACCGATCTGCGATGCCCCTCGTATCCGTGCCGTTCGGGTCAGAGTGTTGGTCCCCATCATCAATCAAACTGAAAGTTTGCTCGGACAGAGCTGGACCCTCGTCCAAATAGGTGTGGGGGGCGGGTGTTTGGGGGGGGCTGAGAGAAGTCAACCCTCTACGGGGCGCGCGAGAAGCGCTGCTTTCCACGAGGGCTCCAAACAGATTTGTCTGCTGTGACACAAAGGACGCTGAAAATCTCATTGCGTCCGTTTTCAATTACCCTGGCACTACTGGTAGCGTGGTTAAGCCACTGCTGAATAAAGACTTCCCCTCTACGCCGTGTTAGTTGTAGGGGTTGTACCATACTTCACGACGATGATGAGAGTGGGTTGGTGAAAGCGAGGGGGGGTGGGCGCGGTTGGCGTTCAGACATCCCGAGCCATTGGTCATGGGGTCGCTAGGTTAATATCGCAGTGCGCTAATCACTACGCCACCGTTCCATTTGTTTCTCACTTAAACGCAACAACTCTCTCTTTACCCCTGCCCTGCCGGGTGTCCGTCTCCCGTCCCTGCAGAGAACTCCATCGCCGCAAAGTCTGGAGGCTGCTTCCCCGGGGACTCGCGCGTCTTCGTCGAGGGCGGCCGATCCAAGCGGCTCCGGGACCTGCGGCCGGGAGACCGCGTCCTGGCGGCCAGGGGGCCGGGTTCGCGCCCCGTCTACAGCGACTTCCTTCTCTTCCTCGACCACGAACCACACCGCCGGAGACTCTTCCTCTCCGTGAAGACGGCGGCGCCTGCGCGCACGCTCCTGGTCACCCCCGCGCACCTCGTCTTCGCCGCCAACTCGAGTGACCCGCGGCACGCGAGGCCCGTGTTCGCCAGCAGGGTGCGGCCGGGCATGCACGTGTTCGTGCTGGACGGTGACGAGGTGGCGACGTCCCGTGATAACGACGATGATGACCACGAGGAGGAGGATCATCGCGATCGTGATGGCGGCGCGCGCCTGCGTGCCGCGCGTGTGGAGCGCGTGAGCTGGGTGGAGGCGTGGGGCTCGCTGGCCCCGCTCACGGCTCACGGCACGCTGGTTGTGGACGGCTTCCTCGCCTCCTGCTACGCCGTGGTGGAGCTGCACGACTGGGCTCACGCCGCCTTTGCGCCTCTACGTGCAGCGCACGCGGCCGCCAGGGCCACGCGGTGGCTCTTGGGTCGGGCGGCCTCGCCCGGGGTCACCGAGTCGCCAGAGGAGGAGAGAGAGGAGGAGGGGGAGGAGAGCAGATTCCTCGGTTGGGACTCTCGGTTCCCCGGCAACTGTAGCGGCGCGCTGGAGGCGAGGAGCGCGCACATTCACTGGTACTCGCGACTGCTGTACGGACTGGGTCGCCTGGTGTTGCACGACGACAGATACCACCCGCTGGGCATGGAGCTAGAACCCTGCAGCTAGAGTCGGGGTAATGCTGGTGGCGGTGTTGGTGGTAATGGTGGTGGTGTTTGTGGTGGTAGTGGTGGTGGTATAATACTTATGTGTATGGCTGGTGTTGTCGGCTTTGGCGGGAGAACATATCTGTTCCACCCCTGCAGCATCTGTCCCTTCCCCCGTCACTGTCTCTCGCACACCAGTGCGTGCATATACACACACCCAATCATGCATTAACACGTTCCTATGCACACGCAAACATAAATATGTACATAGGCACACATACATACACACGCGCGCACTATTTAGCAACTAAGCGAATTAGCCCCCAACCCTGGTCTTACATTCACACGTTAGATGACACGCACGCATATCCGCACGCATACAGTATACATATTGTGCATTGCACACAAGCGCGCGCACACAGGGAAACAGACGGATACAAAGATCCCCGGTATAGCCTTAAATACTGTCAGAGCAAGTGCTGTTAGCGAGCACCATTAAAGTCCGGCGTGGCGCACGAGTGGCTGGGTGGCCAGCACCACTCCGCCCTTTGCCTCCCTCGTGGCAATGTTTACACATCGCACCAGGTACTCGTTTGAGCCTGAGTCGACCTCGGGGAGGCCTAGGACCGGTTCATATAATCACTTGCTGTGCCACAATTTTACACGCACATACACATACACACACCCGTTCACACAAGGAGTTAGACTGAGCCACTGGACACAGCAACAACAACCGCCAATCGCCACTAAGTGGCGGTGACGTCACCACGACGCTTGTGCCAGGCTATGTGCACCTTGAGGCCACGTGAAGTGTCGAACGCCCGCTGGCAGAACGGTCACGGGACAGACCCAGGTGCCACGGGTCGACTGACTGAGACGACTGGCTGATGCACCACCTGTGCCCCCTACTGTGCCAACTTGCTATGCTTTAGCCACCCGGCGCTCTGCTCGTTGTTGTGAGCGTCGCTCCTCCGCCCTCCGTTGTTGTTGGAGGGCGACTGCCTCCAACTGCCCAGCAGCGTCCTTCACGAGCCTCCTCCACAGAGGCCGATCTTGACACCGCTGGTACCAGTCATCGGCAAGTCCACTCAGCTCCACGTCCTCCTGTACCACATCACTCCATCTCTTCTCCAGCCCGTGCCGCGCCCATTTAGCCCCCTCTATCCGACCAAACAAAAGCTGTTTAGGCATGCGGTGACTGGGCATGCGGGCTACATGATTCAGCCAACGTAGCCTTGCCTGCCGGAGGAGCTCACCGATGGGACTTTGCCCAGATCTTTCAAAGATTTGTGAGCTCCTCACCCAATCCAGCCTGGTTAAACCCAGGATGGCTCATAGGCAGGCCAGCCTAAATATTTCCAATCGGCGAAGATGCTCCATTAGGGGGGGTCCACGTTTCGCATGCGTCGAGAAGGGGGGAATGACCGTAGCCGAAAAGACTTGAATCTTCGTGCAGAGCGACAGACCAGGTAGCTTCCACACAGCGCTACGCAACCGATGAAAAGATAATGCCGTTCTACTTATTCTGAGCGAGACCTCTGCTGTCAAACCGGAGGCGGTCACGAGCACACTGCCCAGGTATGGGAAACTCTCCACTCTCTCCACAACTGCCCCATCACCGATTGGGTGTTGTGGGGGTGGAGTGCCCGATAGTACAAAATACCCAGGCAAGTGCTTAGTTTTGGTGGGGTGCATGGTAAGTCCCCACCTCTTAGTGGCACGCTCCAGTTTCAGCAGCAGCGCCTCCAACTCCTCCTCTGAAAGAGCAGCAATTACCAGATCATCGGCATACATAACGTGGTTGACCAATAGGGAGCCATCCCTTGACCGCACCCGGGCATCGATCAGCCTCCCATTGTATCTGTACCAGATGGAAATTCCTCTGGTACAGCCATCAAAGGCGTGGTCTAAAAATATGTAATTAATGTTGGAGCCAGAGGACATCCCTGTCGCACCCCAAGGTGAACAGGGAATGGCTCCGACTCCCGGCCACGTAGTTTTACCCTGGCCCGCTCACCATCATGAAGGTCCTCAATGATCGTGAGCAGAGGGTCAGAGACTCCGAATGCACGAAGAACACGCCAGAGCCTACTGATGGTATCATAGGCCTTGACCAGGTCAATAAAGCAGAGAAATAGGTCTTGTTGGAATTCCCTACACCTCTGCTGTAGCAAACGGACAGAGAATATGGCATCTGTGCAGGACCGCCCTTTCCTGAAACCGCATTGGGGCTCCGCAAGCCTCTCCTCAGCGTGTCTGGCAAGGCGATGTTGAATAATCCTTGCCAGGACCTTTCCCGGCACACTGAGAAGTGAGATGCCCCTGTAGTTGTTACAGTCTGTGCGGTCCCCCTTCTTAAAGAGAGGGAGGCACATACACCCACGGACTCACACTCAGCCACAAAGATCTCCCGTGTAGTAAGCACCTATTAAGGTCGGCACACGCACAAGCGGCACTGTTAGGTCAAGCAATACACAAAGACGAAGATCCTCCATATCGCCTTTAACAAACTGTTCTGGCAAGATCTCTAGCAAGCATCGAGTTCATGCACGACACATCCACAAAGGTCCCCTTATAAACTGAATAAATGCTGTCAGCGAGCATCTATTAATGCGGCGGGGCGTGACCTGCAGCGGTGGTTGATGCGCGTCAAGGGTTACTAACTCGGCACAACTGGGAATTATTTAGATTTAGTGTCTCCACAGTCCATTTGTTCGTAGTTATATACTAGTTTGACGTCCGGCACATCTGGACACAGTATATATATACCGTGTCTATATATGTATACTGTCGCTTCATGTGGGCGTGATGGTAGCTGTTAGCGAGCACCTGCTAGTGAGAACATACGAAAGGATCATCTGATAGTAACTACATCCAGCAAAGACAAAGGTCCCCCGTAAAGACTGTTGGGGCAAGGGTTCTAGGTGAGCGCCTATGAGGGTCAACACAGCACACGATGTAGTGAGATCGATAGCTCCACGTCCGGCCGTCTTTGTCTCCCCAGTGCTGATATTTTACACACCGCACCAGGTACTCATTTGAGGCTGAGTCGATCTAGGAGAGGCCCAGGATCGGTTATATATGTGCCACTGGTCTTGGCTTTGAGCGGGAATCGAACCCGTGTCGCGCAGCCTATGAACAGACACCCACATCCACAAACATATGTAATATACAACTTTTGCGTAGAACATGATCACACACACATACATACATGTGCCCACTCAGTGACACACACACCACACACGTCACACTCTGCACCGTCCCTCAACGCCATCCATCACGACATGAAATCGTGAATCTTCCCCGAGAGGACGAGGCCAAATATCGACGGCAGTCACTCAAAAACTTGCTCGCGTGTTCACTACACAAACCAACGTGTTCACTATACACACCAACGTGTTCACTATACACCAACGTGTTCACTACACACCAACGTGTTCACTATACACACCAACGTGTTCACTACACACACCAACGTGTTCACTACACACCAACGTGTTCACTACACACACCAACGTGTTCACTACACACACCAACGTGTTCACTACACACACCAACGTGTTCACTACACACATCAACGTGTTCACTACACACACCAACGTGTTCACTATACATCACCGTGTTCACTACACACCAACGTGTTCACTACACACACCAACGTGTTCACTAAACACACCAACGTGTTCACTATACACACCAACGTGTTCACTATACACACCAACGTGCTCACTACACACACCAACGTGTTCACTACACACACCAACGTATTCACTACACACACCAACGTGTTCACTACACATACCAACGTGTTCACTACACACACCAACGTGTTCACTACACACACCAACGTGTTCACTATACACCAACGTGTTCACTACACACACCAACGTGTTCACTATACACACCAACGTATTCACTACACACCAACGTGTTCACTACACACACCAACGTGTTCACTACACACACCAACGTATTCACTACACACACCAACGTGTTCACTACACACACCAACGTGTTCACTATACACCAACGTGTTCACTACACACACCAACGTGTTCACTATACACACCAACGTGTTCACTACACACACCAACGTGTTCACTACACACACCAACGTGTTCACTACACACACCAACGTGTTCACTATACATCAACGTGTTCACTACACACCAACGTGTTCACTACACACACCAACGTGTACACTACACACCCCAATGTGTTCACTACACACATCAACGTGTTCACTATACACACCAACGTGTTCACTACACACACCAACGTGTTCACTATACACACCAACGTGTTCACTATACACACCAACGTGTTCACTACACACCAACGTGTTCACTATACATCAACGTGTTCACTACACACCAACGTGTTCACTACACACACCAACGTGTTCACTATACACACCAACGTGTTCACTACACACAACAACGTGTTCACTATACACCAACGTGTTCACTACACACCAACGTGTTCACTACACACACCAACGTGTTCACTACACACACCAACGTGTTCACTACACACGCACGGACACGACGGGGTGCACTGACGCACGCTCTCCGCAGCATGTATGTTGTTGTGGTAACCATCACACAGTGGTACTGGTGTAGTAGTGGTAACCATCACACAGTGGTACTGGTGTAGTAGTGGTAACCATCACACAGTGGTACTGGTGTAGTAGTGGTAACCATCACACAGTGGTACTGGTGTAGTAGTGGTAACCATCACACAGTGGTACTAGTGTAGTAGTGGTAACCATCACACAGTGGTACTGGTGTAGTAGTGGTAACCATCACACAGTGGTACTGGTGTAGTAGTGGTAACCATCACACAGTGGTACTGGTGTAGTAGTGGTAACCATCACACAGTGGTACTGGTGTAGTAGTGGTAACCATCACACAGTGGCACTGGTGTAGCAATGGTAACCATCACACAGTGGTACTGGTGTAGTAGTGGTAACCATCACACAGTGGTACTGGTGTAGTAGTGGTAACCATCACACAGTGGTACTGGTGTAGTAGTGGTAACCATCACACAGTGGTACTGGTGTAGTAGTGGTAACCATCACACAGTGGTACTGGTGTAGTAGTGGTAACCATCACACAGTGGTACTGGTGTAGTAGTGGTAACCATCACACAGTGGCACTGGTGTAGCAATGGTAACCATCACACAGTGGTACTGGTGTAGTAGTGGTAACCATCACACAGTGGTACTGGTGTAGTAGTGGTAACCATCACACAGTGGTACTGGTGTAGTAGTGGTAACCATCACACAGTGGTACTGGTGTAGTAGTGGTAACCATCACACAGTGGTACTGGTGTAGCAGTGGTAACCATCACACAGTGGTACTGGTGTAGCAGTGGTAACCATCACACAGTGGTACTGGTGTAGCAGTGGTAACCATCACACAGTGGTACTGGTGTAGTAGTGGTAACCATCACACAGTGGTACTGGTGTAGTAGTGGTAACCATCACACAGTGGTACTGGTGTAGTAGTGGTAACCATCACACA